TTAACCTGCACTAGTTATGAAACACCCTGTATATTGTAAGACAATAGATTAATTAAGAAATGATTCGAAATGAGATCGATTATTAAATAATGTCCACCGACGAACAGTCATTGTTACTCTTCTATCGATATTGAATCTCCGAACGAATAATATCAAAAAAAAAGCACAAAGCACTTTTTCCGTATTTTCCATCATATATTGTTCGCTGTTACGCGTGGAAAAGATTGAATCGATGAATTGCTGGTTGTTATTCACAGAGGAGATTCAATCGCGTGTTGCAATGGTTATTGTAAATGCGTTAACCTTTCACGGTCGAAGGCCGAGGTATCCATGGCAATGTACATACTTCCACAGCCAATTCGAACGATAATTAAATGCATTGTTTATGAGCGTTTAATGAACGCAAATAAATCGCGGTAACGATCATAAAGAATATAATCCATACTTTGATTAATCGAGCCAGCATAATATCATCTATCCCAATGGATTTGCCCAAAAGGGAACGATGTCCCGAAAAGTAGACATCGATTAATTAGCAAATTTATATCCGTGTTAATTAACCCGTGACGTACCAATGTACATCCTTCACCGCGTCGAATTAATTAATGATCCTTTAAAATCTGATAATGTCGTTCAGTCCCGTTCGCGTGTTGTCGTGCGCGAATTGTTTGTAATTGGTCTTTCAAATTGTTTCGCAACGAAATTGAACGCTATTAATACGGTATCAGAAATTGATAAATCTACGAAAAAATTTGTTCGTTCAATAATTTAAAAATATTAAAACCCCTGTTCCCAATTACAAATTTTAAATTCCCCTCAACGAGTACACTTATCACGTAACTTATACCATACAGTAAACAGAAAATCGAATTGAATAATTGGAGTATCGAAATTTATATTCTTATTGTGCAAATGAAACCGCTCGTTATTAAACTCTCAGACGTTCGATGTTTACGATCACTGGCGAATTGAATCGACTGGATTCACGCAAGGTTTTCGCTTAAATACGATCAGAATTATTTATTTCGTGGCGAAGGAATCGGTTTATTAGAGAATGGAGAGTCGAAACAGGGTGATCGTGTCGATACGATCGCACAGTGCGAGATTTTATCTTCGATATAATCTGGAACAATGGTTACGCGCTCGATAATAACATTCCCACGCGTGATTGCTCGTGAGAAAATTGTTTTTAATGGGTTGCTTTCTCTTTGTGTTGCAGGTAAATTCACCAAGGATCATGAATTGATTTCTGTGAATCGGTTCTGGAACTTTGGGTAATGTGCAAGTACTTTCGTTTTTGGTATTTTTCAAGATCACTATTTCCCCAGATCAATATTTCCCTAGATCACTATTTCCCTAGATCACCATTTTTCTAGATCACCATTTCCCTAGATCACTATTTCTTTAGATCACTATTTCCCTAGATCACTATTTCCCTAGATCACCATTTCCTTAGATCACCATTTCCCTAGACCACCATTTCCCTATATCACCATTTCCCTAGATCACTATTTCCCTAGATCACTATTTCCCCAGATCACTATTTTTCTAGATCACCATTTTCCTAGATCACTATTTCTCTAGATCACTATTTCCCTAGATCACCATTTTCCTAGTTCACCATTTCCCTAGATCACTATTTCCCTAGATCCAAATTTCCCCAGGTCGCTATTATCTCAACTTACTATTTCCGTAGATCACTAGTTCCCTAGGTCCATATTTCTCCATATCATTATTTACCGAGATTCCCATGTCCCTAGGTACCCATGTCCCTAAATCCCAATATCTCCAAATTAATATTTCCCTAGATTACCATATTCCTGAATCCCTATATACCTAGATCTCCATATCCTCAGATCTCTACTCCCTAGATCTAGTATAGGTTCCTATATCTTTATGTCTTAAAAGTCTTATATATGTACATACTTGCATATGCAGTCTTCCTATATGCAGTACCATACACATTACTATTGATATACATGCATGTACCTACAGTACTGTAAGTAAAACTCCACAAACTTTTTACTTGAACAACCGATGTTTCCCCATATTGAATCGACAAGAAACGAAACGTTACGTGTAATGGTCGTCGCAAAATTATTTATATTCATAGTCGTGGAAGGATGTTTTACATCGAAAAAGAAAGAAAACGAGTGGAAGAGTACGGAAAAGAAGTCGCAGCGACGAAAGAAACGACGGCGGCAAGATTAAACCGAGTGCAAATATTTAATTAAATCCCAGCGGCGCCAGTTTACGAATGTCTCGTATAAATTTGTTGAGAAGGCGCACGGTGAAAGTGGATGCGCCTCGATGCAAACGCTAACTTTGCTTTCGAATTAATCGAGAGTGCGTAAGAAAGTGTCGCTTCTGAATCCTTCATCTTTCTTTCGGATTTGCACAACCATCTATACGATTATGATCTGTAGGATTATTTCTGGTATTCTTAAATATGAGACTTGTCTTATGGTAAATGATGAACTATAAAATTAAATACAGCGAGACATCATCTGAGGTAACACTTATCTTTTCACCAGTACAGTTCGTTTGAAGTCTTGAAGATGTTTAACCCCTTCTCGTGCCATTTATCAGATGCGTCAGTCAAAATTAACTATTCAGGAGTGAAAGATTAAAACTAACAAACAAAATGAAAGTGTAACAATTTTATATCCAGGGATCCTTGATAATGCAATTTATAATTGCACCCAAATTTCAAGTTGAAGTATTCAAAATTTGAGTAAGGTCACATTTGAGCCGTAAATGCCTCACGAGCCGTGAGTGACACTTCTCAAAGCACCAGAAGAGGTTAAAAGATTCGAAACGGTTCGAGCAAAACGCGCGAATGTTCGAAATTGTCTAGCAGGTTTAGCGGTCGCAGACAATGGGCAAAGCAGTCGGCAGAAAACTTTCTCAAAACGAATCGTGACGCTTCAAACTTTAACCCGAAGTAAGTTTCCTCCGTGATTCGTGAAAGAAATGGTCGCTTTTAAATCATGGCGTCGCGTGGACGATGCCGGGTCACGCAATCTGAAAGTTAGATTGCTTAAAGCGGCGTTTGACCGTTCGTCGAAAGAACTTTCCGTCCGGAGGATGAAATGCGCTGCGAATCGTTGAAATTCCGATCGATAAGAGTCTCAAGTGTGAATTGCATACAATTTTAACGGCGAGCTTTCCTACGCTCGCCGAATAACAAACAAATACTCGGCGCGAAAGAAATATTTGATACTCGGGGAGAAAGCGCAATTACATCCGACAGGTGCGACGATGCGTTTATTGCGGAAAATGAAATCATAGAAAGCGGGATTCTACTGAACCGTGCAATATTTTTCTCTCGGTATTTATACACTTTTTCTCCTTTTCGAGACAGATAAATCTGGATTTGCATTGAAACGTTCTTTAGAGATCTTTTTTTTAAATGGAAATCGGGAATATAAGCTGGGAAATTTAGGTCTGGTAACTTGAAGATTTGGTCAGTCAAATTTGGAGATTTAATAGCTTCATTGAATTTTGGTGATTCGTGACATCAGGTATTTTAGAATTTGAGGATTGAAGATATTTAATGATTTCCAATTCGGTAATTTATGTACTTTTACTTTTTTGAAGTTGAACCATGATTTTGTTCATGAACCAAACGACATGATTTTTGTTCATCAATCAAATGACATGATTTTTGTTCATGAATCAAATGACATGATTTTTGTTCATCAATCAAATGACATGATTTTTGTTCATCAATCAAATGACATGATTTTTGTTCATCAATCAAATGACATGATTTTTGTTCATCAATCAAATGACATGATTTTTGTTCATCAATCAAATGACATGATTTTTGTTCATCAATCAAATGACATGATTTTTGTTCATCAATCAAATGACATGATTTTTGTTCATCAATCAAATGACATGATTTTTGTTCATCAATCAAATGACATGATTTTTGTTCATCAATCAAATGACATGATTTTTGTTCATCAATCAAATGACATGATTTTTGTTCATCAATCAAATGACATGATTTTTGTTCATCAATCAAATGACATGATTTTTGTTCATGAACCAAACGATATGATTTTGTTCATCAACCAAATAACATGATTTTGTTCATGAACTAAATGACATGATTTTTGTTCATCGACCAAACGACATGATTTTGTTCATCAACCAAATAACATGATTTTGTTCATGAACTAAATGACATGATTTTTGTTTATCAATCAAATGACATGATTTTTGTTCATCGACCAAATAACATAATTTTGTTCATCAACCAAATGACATGATTTAGTTGATTTTTTGAAAATCAATCAAATGACATGATTTTATTAATTTTATGAAAATCAACCAAAAAGTAGCTTAACCCTATTTAATGATTATTTGTATCAAAAAGAATGAATAAGAAGAGTATTTATATACGAAAGAGCATATGTTACGTCCCCGAAATACCGAAATCGGATTTCTGTCGATAATCGCGACGTTTGCACGATTTTAAAGCGTGAGGCGATTATCGGACCGTGATATACGACCCAGCTACACTTTTCTCGCGTAGAGACAAACGAGCTGCAACGTGGAAGAAAGCCAGGAAGCTATGCAAATCGAGAAAACGACCGTGAGATGGATTAGCCGGATGTCAAGTGGACTAATGGATATTAGAATCCTAGCAAGGATTACCGAGAAACCGTTTCTCTCCCGCTATGCTACGTGCCGGAAGTTGATCGATGAACTTCGTGAAATTTAACGCGTATACTTAAAAGCAACATCGATTGACAATTGATCTGGTTTATTTATGTCCTACATTTCCTGTTTACCGTGTTCTGTAATATCTAACCTACTTTCCGCATGGTTTTGTATTCGAACTTATTATAATTACATCTACTATTTAAATGTATCAAAATCGTGACTTCATAAAGATATAAATAGACAAATGATGAAAGGTACATGTAATTATTTTCACTCGTTAAGAATCGAGGCACATTTCGACGATAGTACGTTAATAATTTCTGATATTCGTCATTTTGACGGATTTGTTGCGGTGTTAAATGTGCTTTGTAATCGACTGGCTGGTAATTAGAAAGTGATCTTTCCTAGGAGTCGAGGATAATTAAACGATCGTTGCATAATTATTACGTTCAGCTCGAGTAATTAAATGCGGGTTCTCCATATTTGGTAGAGTGCAGTTTGTATCTTGAGATACTTCCTCGTTCTGAGGTGATGAAACATTGATAAATATCAGAAATTTCAAGCTGAGGTATGTGCTAATTTATGGCCATATATCGCGCGGTCATTCAGCGCGTAGTAATTCAACGTGTGGCGATAAAACATGAGATAATTCGTCACTGATGACTTAACACGTGATAATTCAACGCATGATGATTCGATATGTTGTGATACCACACGTGGCAATATAACGCGAGGATTTATAACGCGTGGTGAGTCAGCGAGCTGCGATATAATGCGTGGATATGCAAGGGATGATAATTCAATGTGTGGTGGTTTGACACTTGGCAATATAACGCGTGGCGATTCCACACATGGCGATATAACGCGAGGATACATAACGCGTGGTGAGTCAGCGCGTGGCGATATAATGCGTGGAGATTCGACGGATGGTAATTCAACGCGTGGTGATTTGACACGTGGCGATACCACGCGTGGTGATATAACGCGAGGCTATATGACGCGTGGTGAGTCAGCGCGTGGAGATTCGGCGGATGGTAATTCAACTCGTGGTGATTTGACACGTGGCGATATAATGCGAGGGGTTACAACGCGTGGTGAGTCAACGCGTGGCGATATAATACGAGGGGATACAACGCGTGGTGAGTCAGCGCGTGGCGATATAATGCGAGGGGATACAACGGACGGTAATTCAACACGTGGTGGTTTGACATATTGCAATACAACACATGGCGACTGCATCGAAATCTATATAAAAATATAATAAATCGATATAATGCGTGGAAATTCGATAGATGGTAATTCAACGCGTGGTAATTTGACACGTGGCGATACCACGCGTGGCGATATAACGCGTGAAGAGTCAGCGCGTGACAATATAATGCGTGGAGATTCGACGGATGGTAATTCAACGCGTGGTGATTTGACACGTGGCGATACCACGCGTGGCGATATAACGCATGGAAAGTCAACGCACGGCAATATAATGCGTGAATACTCTACGGATGGTAATTCAACGCGTGGTGATTTGACACGTAACAATACCACGCGTGGCGATACAACGCGTGAATATCCCACATATGCAGATTCAACACGTTGAGATTCAACCCCTGATGGTCGAATGCGTGGTAATTTATCACGTGATGATACATCGCATAGAAATTCAACGTGTAGCAATATAACACATGGTGACTGCATCGAAATCTATATAAAAATATACTAAATAAAAGAATCGAAATAAACGCAATAACTATAAACTAACTTTCCACTATAATAAATACCATAAAAATAAAAGCCTCAAAATGACAAATACATATCAAACAGTATAAAAGAATAATACCAAAAATCTAGACGACGTTACGAAAGCACAAAACAACGTTGAATAGAAACGATTTCTGACTAGTCCACGTGATGGACGACCATACGCGAGCAGAGTCCCAATTTCACCGGGAATTACGTGTAAGAGAAGTCGCGGTAATAAATTGTCGAACACGAAACAACGATAGAGGTAACAAGGGAACCTCCATCGCGTGTGTCCGACGTTTTCTATTATTCCGTTTAAAATTTGTCTTGGGAGATATTACGTAGCCGTCGTAGCCGAATCCGGCCAGGAAGGAGAAGACGTAGCTCGAGAAATCCTAGACGGTCGATGACTCCCCGCGGAACGCTCGAGGCAGTCATATTTGTCGGTGATTCGAGCGATCGGATTCTCCTCCCTTGCTCTCTGTTTCGAGCTGTTCGCCACGATTGTGCCTGCGAGTTTCGCGTACTCAGCATTCTGGATGAAAGGAGGGCGAACAGGAACGGAGGGTAAACGAAACTCTCGGGGCGCAAGACGACGAGGGGGTGCACAGAAATTGTGTAAAAGGGTCCTGGAGACGGCTGGTACTCCGATTCGTGTTGCTCGAGAGTTTCGTGGAAAAAATTTCCTACACAAATTTTCTTATGGATGTCTGAGTTAATCTGATCATGGTATTCTGACTCATGACTAGTTTAAAACATTTCAATACCTCTGTCTTGTTATAATGTGCTCAATACATTGGTACATATATTATGTACAAATTTAGAAAAAATTTGTTGTAAGAGATTTTATGCGGACATAAAAAGGGTTAATGACTCTTTGGTTTAATATTATTATTCTTTCATGTATACCATTTAATAAGGATTATTAAAGTAATTTGTACATACGTTCTTCGTTCAAAAAAAAATTATTACATAGAAAAACGACATTCAAATAAGAATGACACTTATCAAAGCAACATACGTGACAAAATTATTTTCAATTCCAGAAACTTTTCTTGTTCACACAATGTTCTACCTAAACCTTACACAATAAAATTGTACTTATAATTAAGAAACGATAAAAATGAAGTGTATTTGTAAATTCTTTAATTGTTAAAATCTTTATGGAGGCTATATGCTGTTTCTAAAAGTGGCGCGTTTCTGTGAAACGAAATAAGCACGACTCGTTTTCCCGTAAACCAGCACGATCCGTCGAGGCGTCGGACGGAATTGGAAACACGACTTTAGCACCTATTAGTCAGCGGTTTGCCATGAAAAGCGGAAAACAGCACGATTGGGTATCCAGGCGCGAGTGTCGGTGTGATGCATAAGGTAAAATAGCGGGCGCAACAGGGCAAGAGACTCGTACCGTTGTTAAATGGGCGAGGCATTGTTTTCGCTCGGCCTTGAATCTAATTATTCCACTGGAAACAGCTTTTGCGCTGTCGCGATACATCTGTTGTTCCGTGCACGTAGTTTCTGCGTATTCCCGGCAGAATTCCTGTCGATTCGACGGAAATTAAACGATCGACTCTATCCACCGTGCTATGAATCGTCGTGATTTTCGTGAACTGTGTTCCTCCATTCGCAGGAAGTTCATATTTCTGTTTTTAAAACGGAAAGCACTTGTAAAACTTTATATTATTGGACTGAGATTTAATGACATATATTATTAATATGTCTGATGTTAGTTGAAATAGAATTTAAACTAATTTCAACGTAAATGGATTTGATATAAAATTTCATTAACTACGTGGACTAATGTGAAGAGCCTGAGGTGATAAAACCTATCCTGACATAATCTACCACCAACCTAATAATAAATTATCAAACCTTTATTTATGACCTTAACCTTAATGTAATCTACTTTCATGTAACCCAGACCGTAATATAATTTTGACCTAACCAATCTAACATTATGTAACTTCAACCAAACCATGGTCTAATCTGACCAAACCGTAATTTAACCTTAATTTTAATCTAGCCTTGACCCAATTTTAATTTAAAATCTAATTAATTGAACCTGTGACTAATGTAACCTATTTCCGCAATTTTGTCTGATTTATATATTCTAAACCTAAAATATAACCAAACCGAGCAAAGAAATTTGGATGCAAGAGCTCCGGTTTCGGTTGCATTCACATGCGTGCCAGAAGATCAGATAATTGTAAGAAGAGTCGAGAATATCAAGGATTTCATAGAATCCAGGACTCTCGAGACGGTACAGCGTAGCTTTGTCGCATAAAGTACCCAGAAAGCGTTCGAAAAATTCGTAGAATCGTTTAAAAATTCGTGCGATAGAGTCGAAAAATGTTGAGAACGACATAAACAAACAGTTCGGAGAGGCGGTATTTTAGAGGATCTTAAACTCGAGAGTTATCCAACTGCCTCGGAACAGTTTAAAGTGGTTAAAAAACGCTCGATACCGTCGTCGTATCCCGTAGGATCGTAAAACTTTCGTCCCGATGGTAATCTGTTTCGCTGGTTCTTATCGTCGGAAAGTTCTGTCTTCGATGTTCATTGTATACATTAGCGTATAGAACGATAATTTATATGGTAATACAGATTTTACGTTGCTCGAGTTTCCGATACGTGGCCTTAAAATCGGACGATAAGAAACGGTACGGACGTTGATGACA